GGATTGTCTTTAAAAAATCAAGAGGGAATAATATGGAGAGGGATTTGGCCTTCCTATTTTACCTTAGAATTTAGCAGGATATTTTAACTATCATTGTTAAGCTGCCTTCCACGAAGAGAAAATCAGAATGTAAGTATTTCAACAAAAAAAATAAAAAATAACATTGACAGTGCAATCCTAAGAACACTTTCCTGGGAATCAGCCCTATTGAATAGACTGTAGTAGAATAATGAGTAGACCTTTTTAGGATTATTCTCCAAGAGAACTATTGAAACACCCATTAATGCAGAAATCACACACACACCCCCAAAAAAACCCCTCTTTTAGTTATTTATATTCCAGATATTAGTTGTGTTCCGAATTTTTTAAAATTTAAATGACAAAATGACCTTGATTATGAGATCAATGAAACAATGCTGGAATTTATGATAAAATACGGCTCTACCGTCTTTAGAAACCTCATGCCTCTAATTTAGATAATTAGTTCAAATTCTTCAGCAGTGACATCTTTCCCCTTAGAATTGTACAACTGCATTAAAAATTGTTGGGTTTGTGAGACTCCCAGTGGAAACTTTGTCTTATGTGGTGTGTAAAAGAGCAAAACATGTCTTGGGTAAAGATTGTTTCAGTAATGTCAGCTGGTCTGAGAAGTGATGTTCCAGACTTTCCAGAAACGCTTTTGAATTACGTAGCAAATACTCAGATACTGCAGCAAGGTTAACTAATGTTAAGAAGCGGTAACAAGAGTACTACCTTAATATTTCAGGACTGACTTAATAAATATAACTGGCATATTACCCAAGCTTAAAGTTATGTGACAACCCAATGTACAGAACGTTGTAGCAGATGTTAACAACAAATGGACTGCATTGCATTAAGGAGGGAACTTCAAATTTGTGTTCATTACAAGGTGTCTTACTTTGAGATTCATGTGAGGTTACATTTTTGTATTTGATCACTGTAATTTTAAAAAAGAGCCACATTCATGTAACTCCCATAAGCTTGTGTGTATATGTATATTAAAAGCCTTTGAACGTAGTGAAGAGCAAAAATGAATTTTGTTCATGAAAACATGTTTTGTCCTAATAACTTCAAAAACTGAGACAACTACTCAGCACATAAAAGACTACTACTTCAGCCTCTAATGAAATCTTTTCTAAATCCACACTGAGATTTCTCGGCACCCCTAGCTACGCGAAACTTAAAAGAACTAATCTCAATACCCAACTTGTTTCACCATATTTAAGTTCTATAGCTTCCTCTTCACTTTAACAGCTCAAGGTAAATAATGCACCCTAATTCTAACCTAACTGTGGGCAGGGAGGTTTTAACTCAAGGTATTCCACCCCAGCCCTAAACGGTAATTTGTGCTTTCCTAGTTAGTGTGCTGGGTAAAGCACAGGGTGCGAAAATACCCAGCCTCTCGTGACCGTTATTCTAAACGGGAGTCAGGAGGGTGCACGGAACGGTTTAGAACTTTAGTTCAAATCAGTATAAAACTGCTGAAAGTATATAGTACAACATCCTAGGTGTTGCCTTGAAGAAAGAGTGATATCTTAGTTGCTGTTTTGAAGAAAGAATGTCCATTTGTTTGTTTGCTTGTTTTTCTTTTACATTTATAGTTAAAGTGTTAATACATGTATTTTAAGATAATCAAACCTTTGATATTGAATCTTCCTGTCAGAAACAGATTTTACTGTGTGGGTTTGTACCCAACTAGCTTCACAACAGACTTCACATAGTATCTGGAATATCAGATTCGTTTCCTTAGTAATCTGAATAGTTTCACAGACATATTCAGGAAGGAGGAAAGGGGGGGGGGTTCAGAATCCTTTGTTATAAGCTTACCTCTGAGTGCCTAACTGCTAGCTATATAACTACACTGAGTCAGGAAATTTTTAACTTCAATTAATTTTTTCTTGGTGATTACTAATTAAGTAGACACAGAACCATATAGGGTCTGACAATTTTTGAACCTACTTAACTTTTTCTCTGGTGATTAACAATCAATTTCACTAGCTGTACTTTTTTAACTCTAAGCAATCTACAATCCCAAGAAGCAAATCATAACTGGATCCACACAGGCAATTGGTCACACTTCATAGTACCCTTCAGGTAATCTATCCTATTTTAATATTCTTAAATTGCCAACAAATCTTGCTTAACTATTACAACTGTTAAGTGAGTTTCTCAAGATTCTCACAACCAGGTAAGAGTGCAATAAATATTAATCTTTAAGGGATTGATCAAAGTCTGTGTATTGCAGCTACACTCCGCAGTGACTGATTTCAAAGCTTCTAATTTTTATAAAGGGAGGTAAGCAGGGGATTAGATTAAATAATCAGTGGTCTGACCTGAGACCCCCAGGCATCCAGCAGTACACTGTTCAGGCATTAAGTAACAGATATATTTCAGACCAATAATAATCATAACAAAACCACATAACCACACACGGAAATGCAATCTCAGGTGAAAATTACATCTGCTATGTCCATGGTTTAAACAACACGGTCAAGAGATGCAGAATCCTAAATAAATTGACAAAAATGAACGCAAATGTGATCCTATTACAAGAAACCCAATGAAACAATGCTGGAATTTATGATAAAATACGGCTCTACCGTCTTTAGAAGCCTCATGCCTCTAATTTAGATAATTAGTTCAAATGCTTCAGCAGTGACATCTTTTACCTTAGAATTGTACAACTGCATTAAAAATCGTCTGGAAATTGTTGGGTTTGTGAGACTCCCAGTGGAAACTTTGTCTTATGTGGTGTGTAAAAGAGCAAAACATGTCTTGGGTAAAGATTGTTTCAGTAATGTCAGCTGGTCTGAGAAGTGATGTTCCAGACTTTCCAGAAACGCTTTTGAATTACGTAGCAAATACTCAGATACTGCAGCAAGGTTAACTAATGTTAAGAAGCGGTAACAAGAGTACTACCTTAATATTTCAGGACTGACTTAATAAATATAACTGGCATATTACCCAAGCTTAAAGTTATGTGACAACCCAATGTACAGAACGTTGTAGCAGATGTTAACAACAAATGGATTGCATTGCATTAAGGAGGGAACTTCAAATTTGTGTTCATTACAAGGTGTCTTACTTTGAGATTCATGTGAGGTTACATTTTTGTATTTGATCACTGTAATTTTTAAAAAAGAGCACATTCATGTAACTCCCATAAGCTTGTGTGTATATGTATATTAAAAGCCTTTGAACGTAGTGAAGAGCAAAAATGAATTTTGTTCATGAAAACATGTTTTGTCCTAATAACTTCAAAAACTGAGACAACTACTCAGCACATAAAAGACTACTACTTCAGCCTCTAATGAAATCTTTTCTAAATCCACACTTAATACCTTAAATGAGATTTCTCGGCACCCCTAGCTACTCAAAACTTAAAAGAACTAATCTCAATACCCAACTTGTTTCACTATATTTTTCTATAGCTTCCTCTTCACTTTAACAGCTCAAGGTAAATAATGCACCCTAATTCTAACCTAACTGTGGGCAGGGAGGTTTTAACTCAAGGTATTCCACCCCAGCCCTAAGGCCACCCATTTCTGAACCAAGATCAATAAACCAAACAAGCACAGGTGCAGACAAAATGCATGCACGGCCACAGTTCCTCTGTAGTCTATTTAATGTTTTGCCTATACAAACCTATTTTTTGAAACTTTCCTAACTTTTGCTAAGTCTCACAAAAGCACAAGAGTGAAGCAATGCCCCAAAATAACATGGAGGTACAAACCCCCCCCCCCCCATTTCATCTCTTCATAACTTTTTACAATGCACCTTCTCATTGACTGGGGGGGGGTTTACTTTAAAACAAAAGAGGGAGGGGGAAAGGCTTAGCAAGAAAAGGGGAGAAAAACCTGTCTTAAGAAACTCTGCCAGAGTAGCCTACCTTAAAAACAATAATTCATAAGTAGAAATGACAAAATATTTAATACAGAGTATGCAGCAATGACAAAAACGGTATAGCTGCAAAGCAGATGAGCTATGAACATAAAACCTTCAAAAAGCTTTAAAATTATAATGAAGGGGGAATTAGGGAGAACTATTTTCTGTTTTGTATACCCTATATCTTTTTGTATTCCTTATATATTATTATATAACCCTTTTTTTCTTTTGCACCCCCTTATATATCACTACCTGGTTTTTAAAAGATATATACTATTTCAAAAAGAAAAAGACATTCTGCTTTTTGGGCTGAGCAACGACTGAAACCTCTGGGAAATATTTCTCACACACGCGCACAGCCCTTTCTACCGCTGTAACTATATTCAGCATTAAATACATTTCCCTTTCTTTTATTTTTTTGCTTCAGGCCTACCCAGCTAAACTTAATGCGCGCGCCCGACCACCACACCCTTCCGTCCCCTTCCTCCCCACACACAACTATGACGCCCGCGGCTGCAGCCTCGCCTTATAAAGGCTACCGTCAAGCTCCGCCCAGCCCCGCTTGTCACGTGCTCCCCTGTTGCTCGCCGGGCCCGACACTATAGAGGTAGAAAAGGGCCTTGTATATGTCCCCACTTCTTCCGGATTCTATTTGACAGTGGCGACCTGGGCGCTGAGGTGCGGAAAGGCACAAGAGGGAGGGAGGAGGAATCCCCAGCGTGGATTTTGACCTTGAGTGCCTGGAGTCTTTGGGCCAGAATTGCAGATGGAGCAGGAGCCCACGGAGACAGGAATAAGCCTAGAATCAGCTTTATATCCAAAAGTTTAAAGAGAAAGTCGAAGCGTGCATGCACACGGAAAGCTGACATAGTTTGAATAAAATTTTGTTGGTCTTCGAGGTGCCGCTGGACTCTCAAACTTTGCCTTTGCGAGGGGGGGGAAGGCTGTTCGGTTAGGAACCGGAAGTGTCTAAGACTCCGAGCTCTTCCCCCCCCCCCCATCTCTACGGGGTCGAGGGGGCTGTTGGACGACGGAGGACGGAAGCAGCCTATAGAGTCGGAGGAAGTGGGTGGCCAGAGCGGCGTTTCCGGCTGCCGGAGGCCGGGCCGACGGGGAAGATGGGGGCGCCGGAGCGGCTTCGCGTGGTCCGCAGCGGGGGCAGCGAGCTCAGCCGGAGGCGCGCCGTTTTCTCGGCCGAGGGAAAGTGAGTGCCGGGAGGGGGAAGGACGCCGGGAGGGTTTGTTTTTCTGGCCCCGGGCTCCGCGTGGGATCCTCTGGCTGCCGTCATGGGGGCGGAGGAGACACGTGTCCGTGTTTGCCTTTTGACCCTTCGCCTAGGACGGCCTGGCCCTCAGGGGCGCAAACCTCGCCCCGCCCGGGCGCCCCCCCACCCACC